ATTCCTGCTACCACACGAGCGAGCGTGTTCACATTGTGGATATATATGTAGCATTCTTTTATATGTTATTTTGCGAATTTATTCCTTTAGAAATGAATAATGACAGAAATTCACACTGTATAGTGATGGCCAAGCTACGCCGAACTTTCATGATGGAAACAAATGCTTGAGCCTGCAATAAATACACTCACTGTTGTCAAAATTCTTCTTCTTTACTCCACATTTAGCGTTACTTTTTGTAGCGATTCACAAATCAAACCAGCCGCTACCTGTTTCTTTTCGAAAACAGAACACTGTGGGCATAGCTGCAATGCCAGTGAACGCAGATTTACCGCTGTGTGCACCTTACCTGTGGCAGATATTTATAATAAATTGACTATAGGGCCAACCTGCACAAGCACTGATCCCCTACTATTTCGTAGCAGTTTCCAACATGGCTGCAACTTTCTACGAAATGAATTCATGGCCATAGCATCACTGAATATCTCCTTATCTACTAACACGCTCGCACCATATTTGAAAAGATATAGCAGCACGACTACCTGTTTCACTGGTCAGCACATATTTCTGGTGCGCCGCCATATTCTTTTAATGAAGTTTCATTAAGAATAACAAATTAAAAATTCGGCAGATCCAACGTACCTTGAGAATCGACGGTATGTGAAACATGCTAAGAGAAGGTGGCCGAGTTGTAATTTTTATTTAGCGACCAATTATGGAATAACGCTAAATATATGTACAAGGGTTACACGCGCAGATAAATATTGAACACATTCAGATGTTGATGAAATCAGTTCTTTGCACTTGCGCAATGGTGTCAACAGGAACATTACTATTAGCAACTCCAGAAACAATAAGATGGTGTGAAGCGCTGGTGCTTGCGTGCATGGTAGACCTGAACACTGCTACATAAATGCAATCCAGCGCATGCCACCTAGCTACAATTGCAGTTAACACGGCATAACGGCTTTATTATAGCAGTCAATATGTAATGTTTATAAAATTGGATAGCGAGCACTGCAACCACAATTGACGTTTCAGGAATATTAGGATCTATTTGAAAAGTAGTTCCTAGATCTGGCGTGGCTCTGTGATTGGATGCTTGATTGCCACGCAGAATGCTGGGGTTCAATTTATTCTGGAGCCCCGACATTTATTCTTGGCATTCGACAGATCAACACTGCCTATGTAACGCTTTTCTTAACGCTCACCAATGTGTGTTCTTGACATTCCTAGATAGATGCTAAGTGTCCATATTGAGTGGCACATATACCATTGTATGGTACGAAGTGTTTCATAACGTATGCGATAGTATTGTGACAATATTCATTTCTTTCCTTCACTTCATACTCGTCAAATCATATTCGTCTTTCATACAAACTTTCCTTCACGCAAAGTTGAGATTATGATCACGAGAGCATATAGACATAAGCAGAAAGTTAGATAGATAGAACAATGGAACGCAAGAGGTCTTAGATCTTGCATCTATGCTTTTCGACAGTTCGCACATCTGTACCAATTTCTTATCATGGTTATATGTGAACCAAAATTATTGCACCCAATCAGACTATCCGGCTACGAGTAATTTTTCTCATCAACTGACTTCGAAAGTGGCAAGGCTGTTGTATTTACTCACCGGGAGCTTACTTACGTCATACAGCCAGCGCAACATCACGACGACAATCAGTATGTGTGCTTGACTGTTTAAAAAAAGTTGATAATCGCACTCCTGGGTGTGTATATCAATCAATCAATCAATCAATCAATCATTTTATTTCTTTTAGATAAAAGGAGTACAGGACTAAAAGCTCGAGAGCTTGACGAGGTCCTGACCCCGTTCACAAGTTCACAAAGCAGCAGGAATGAAAGTCAATTATGTACAACAAATATGAAATAAACATACAGGTATAACATCACAAAAAAAGTAATACAAAAAGTTTATGAAAACAGTGCTAAGATAAAAAAAAGTAGTTCAAATGTATGGTCATGAAGTGGCATGAACATGAAAAGCAATAATAAAAAGGATAGAATGGGCATAAATTCTTAGAGATGTATCATTGAGGATAATGTATAATGTATATATCCCCATCAAGTAGATTCAACGCCAACAATTTGGATGGCATATTATGGGCATATCCGGGTCCGTGGGATATCATCGGGGATTCAATGCACATCATCCTACCTGAGGAAGCTCAAGGGTTAATTCAACAGGACGACGTCTAGCATCCTTGGTTTCCGAACATGGTCTCGTCCTTTTTGATTGGCGCAAGCCCTACGTTTTGCGAGGTACCACATATAACAGCTGTCTTGATTTGTCTTTTGCTTTACGCCGATTCGCTACACGTGTAAAGTGGTTTTTGGACATTTAAACCCACAGACGCGACCACATCCCCACTTACCTGAAGATCAAAGGTATTTAGAACACGTACTCATCTACCAAGACACATAGAATAGATTGGACAATGTTCAAAACTCTACTTGAATATGCTTCTAAGGAAGGCCTCTCCCATAGTCATCAGCAAGCTATTAAGGAAACTGCACATGCGGCTACGCGCACAATAATATGCTCTCCATAGTACTCTGAAATTGACCTCGAGCTAAAGCGGCTTGGTGCGATCCACCGTCGTGCCGAAAATAGATACCAACGCACCAATTTCACAGACGATCTACGAACAGCCCGGCGTATTTAAAAGAAGATACAACGACGCCTCGACAAAGTAAACACCCAACGATGGAGGAAATTCTGTGCGTCACCGGATACTCATAAACAACTGTCTCGGATATGGAGAACTGTGCGAGGCCTATGTTCTGTTGCAGAGCAGCGCTTTCCTTTCGAAGCCCTTGCACTTCTCCATCGCCGACACGAAATTGAGGTAGCAGAAGATTTCTGCGCTACGATTTAGGGCCAGACAACATACACAGGCCTACGTATAGTGAACCATATTCCTCACTCGCGGGACCCGCGCATAGATCTACCGTTTACATCATAGGAGATTGATGCGGCGCTCGTCCTATGTAAAAGGTCGCCGTTGACTGGCCTAGATAACATTTCTTACCAGATGCTGTGCTACCTTGGTGAACTGGCACGAGAAGCACTCCTCAACATCTTCAACGAATCCTGGCAATTTGGCGTTGTTCCGCAAGATTGGAAGATTAGCCGCTTGGTACCGCTTCTTAAGCCTGGCAAATCTCCCCTGGACATTGCCTGTTACTGACCCATCGCACTTTCAAGTTGTGTTGGAAAGGTAATAGAGAGAATGATCTTTGCCAAACTTGAATGGTACCTTGAATATTACGAGATATATCCGAACGCCATGGCTGGTTTTCGCCGTCGTCGATGTTCCATCCACAATAATATAGATCTTGTCACGCATGTCCAGCATCAAAAGGCAAGTAAACGATTATCTGTTGCCATGTTCCTCGATGTAAAAGGAGCATACGACAATGTTCTTCACGACGCGATACTCGAGGTCATTGAGCCAGTGGGCCTAAGTGGACAACTGTATTGTTGGACACGCAGTCATTTACAAGGGCGGACCTTATTTGTGAACACTGTAGATAGTCCCACCTCCCAACACCCCACGCATCGTGCAGTTCCGCAAGGTAGCGTCTCGAGTTTAGCCCTCTTCAACCTCGTCCTCATTGGTCTTGTGGAACGACTACCGAGTGTGGTCAAGCTATCTGTGTGCGCTGACGACATCTGCGTCTGGGCATCTGGCGTGACAAGGCCTCAGGTGCGCACAAGGCTTCAGAAATCTGCAACGTTAGTATCAGTGTACCTCAATGAAGAGGGTTTGAAAATCTCGCCAGAGAAAGGCGCATTGATTGCTTTTAGTCGAAAGCCAATGAGACCATACGCTATAGTACATCTATCGATGGCGAGGTCATACCATATGTCAGGACGCACAAATTTTTAGACGTATTCATTGACAGAGACCTCTGCTAGGACACACGTGTGACCCACTTGATGAACCGTTTTCCATACACCCTTTTCAAAGACTGATTCTGCAATGAAAATCCAAGAAATAACTAATGAAGAAGTAAAATCCCCGTGGAATGCCGAGTGCTTGCGGCACACGCGACTGCATAGGCTGGACACGTCTCGTCGACTTCGGCCTCCATCCGGACTCTCTCGTCTTGAGACAAGGGTGCTTTGCCGACTGTGGCTTGGTGTTGCTTTCACCAAAGTTTTCGGCTTTCGAATCGGCATGGAAGAAAGTGCTGTTTGCGGCACTTGTCATTGCGGCAGCGATGGAACGATAGAACACGTTCTGTGTCACTGCCCTCGTTATAGCGTGCAAAGACGGAAGCTAGCTTCTGCGTTAGCTCACCTTGACGAAAGACTATTGTCATAACAATCAGTGCTTAAAATTCCACATTTTCTGGCTTCGCATAGAAAACCAGTGAAGGCCTTATTGAACAATTTGCATAGTAGTGACCTATTGTATATGCTATAGGACCCCAGTTGATATTTTTTTCTCATTTTCGCGCGTAAATTTCGCTCTTCGTTTTTTTTTCCATCTTTCTTCTCCATTCTCCATTCCCTTCGTGCAGGGTAGCAAACCGGATGCTCCAATTTCTGGTTACATTCCCCGTCTTTTCCCTATTTTATTCTCTCTCTCTCTAGATAAATAGACAAATAGATTCGTAGACAGACGCCAAAAGTGCTTCCAGAACGCAAAGAAATGGTTCACAGTTATTGTGAATTCAGCAAGTCTTTTTGTGCAACTTTTTCATCGTGGGCATGCTCATTTCGCTGTTGCACGACAAACTTACTACTCATACGCGATAGTAGCTGAGTTAGTGAGAAATAGCAGTGCTAGCTGGCCAGAGTAGTCTGCTGCCGAGTCGACAACCGACGCTAACCGGTTGGAAACGATGGACTACAGGCCATCTGTTGACGCAACACTGTAATGACTTACCCACCATCAAGCCCCCACCACCGCCCTCTTACCAACATTTATCTACATAAGGCGTGGTTGAAAAGAACGCATCGAACAGTGAAACAAGGGTGGTAATATATTTCTTTCAAGAGTCAGGGTCTCCAAGGGATTTAGGAAGTATCACAAATGAATGTTGTGCTTTCGTCACACTTCTGGCTGACGTGTTATTCACGCGTACTTTATCAAATGTAACACCCACTGACCCACGTGAAACATTTCTGCTTGCGAGCAGATCGGTTCAGAGACAGTGATTCACACAGCAAATTTTTGTCCATTGCCATTCACAGGGCTCTCCGGCCCAAGTATCATACTAATTCTCTTTGGCATAATTTCAATATTCTCGCATGCATGTTTCTAGACTAGATAAAATTGGCAAGTTTTGGCCACGTTATACCTTAAAAAACGAATATGTCCACAAGTTAGAAGGCCGGAAGCATTTTACAAACGCTAGTTTATGTTTCCATCTAAATGTATACTTCAACACGTATGACCTTTTAATACTACTGGTCTCCTGGACCCTTGAAGAGGTTGGGCGTGTCAGGCACTCCCATTGGAGGGGTGTCCGGCTGACGTGAGGGTTCGGCCTTCTGGACGAGCGGGTGTTGCTGGAGCGCCTCGTAAATCTGCCGCACCTTAGGGAAGGGTGTGACGTCAATGCCAAAACGGTACGCGTTGCACACTTGAGGGACGAGGCAGGCATCCGCGAAGGTCAGCTCGTCTCCGAAGCAGTACTTTCCAGCTGTCTCCGCAAAAATGGCTTCCAGTGCTGAAAATATTTTTGAATAGGGAAAGTAAGTTCGAACATATAATTGAATCAATCGTTTTTGCTGCTAACGTCAAATGATACAGGAGTTGACTAGATATCCCAAATAGTGATGCCATTGGGCCTGAAATTTGCCTCACCTTCCAGAGTGCTGGAGTGCTCCAAAATGCTATTTTGCCGCTTACTTTCCTTAACACAAGGCTTAACCCTTATAATGAACACTGATATAGTAAACTATTGGTTTTGAAGTGATTGACAATGAAATAGTGGCTGGGCCAGTTTAATTTTACTTACAATATAACTTCTATTATTTAACCAAGAACACCAGCGTCTGCACGGTATCGGTCATTACGAAGCACTATTTGGTTGCATGAGGCTCTAAACTCAACAGGTAGCAAGAAGTAAATGAACTATTAAAAGCTGGTTTAAACCACATACTTTTTTAAATGTGGTTGTGTCATAAAAAGTTGTATGAAGATGTGGCCACATCCTAGCGCAGATAAATGTAAATGAAGGCCTTTTTTCTCAATCGATATTATTCTGTTGTTACTTTGTATTTTGTGCGTTGGAGTGCTTAGTTTTCAGTGCCGCGTAAAATCTAACAAACATGACTTTGTTAATTGTGTATTTGAAGCTTATAAACATCAGATTTGGTACGTAGGGTATTGATGCTCCACCTTTCTAATTTTAATACGAATACATAAAGAGTTCGTTTCGAAGAAATTCCGACGTGGGCGCCAGCAGCGGCGTCGGCAGTTGTGAGCAAAAAAAAATGATCACCTTGTGCGTAACCGAAAAATCAAGAAAGATGCAAATAAAATAAAAAATAGAAAACTAGGTCTGAGTGGGGAATACACCCGGGCCGTTCGAGTGGCAAGCGAATGTTGTACCATAGAGGCACGCGTTAGCTTGTAAGTACAGTGAAAATAACTTCCTCCGCTTGAATGTGCAGTGAAAGTAACTGTAATGCTTTACAAATGCAAACGTCATGTACACATTTTTCACAATGAACATCTAATATCACAGTAGTTATGCATTGTAGGAGCATTCATTGTGATCGGGTGAACGACCATGCGATTATCATGAATTCATGGTTTAAAGCGGGCCACCCACTACAAAAGGCACACACGTTGTGGCGCCTTTTCCCTTAAGGCCACGCAATGAGTGCATAGCAACCTCAAAAAAAATTTCCCAGGTGCGATTTCCCATGGTTTAGACATGCTACCAATTACACAGAATGAAACCATATGCGAAATATTCACTCACACAGGCCGTTTTGAAATTAGTACGGACTAGTAGCCGAATATCACTATTACGTTCAACACTCAAAGGTGTAGCTTAAGGAACCCCCAATTTTCAGGTCTATGTCTGATTTATGTGTTACATAAATACTCATTTAAACACCTAATGTGTGGCCCGGATGCCACTTCCATACAACTAACTGGCTTTGACTGTGCAAATTGCCATGATTTATGAGCTTTTCATAGTGCAACCACAGCAGATGGAAATGTGACCTGCAGGACTATGCGTGCTAAAAAGCTGTGCGGACATTAGACAGCTTAGCTTATTAGAAAAAAAACACAAGCTTGTAAGAACTGGAATGTACACTCAAGTCCTCAAACTGATAGCTCATCACCACCACATTTTGTTCGGCAAAGCCAAAATACTTCTAACCTGCAGTAAAAATCCGTTCAATGCTTCCAATGCGTTCAATGCTCCCAATTCAACGCTCCGTTCAATGCCGCTCCATTCAATGCAATTGCTCCATTCAATGAAATTCCGTTCAATGCTTCCAATTCCTTCAGAGCATAAAATGAGCCATTTTTTATTAGAAATGTCTGCCTAAGATGATCATTAAAGTGTGAATCTCATATCGAAAGTTAACAATGTTATTATTTTTGAAAAAGACAGAAAATGTGCACAAAGGTAGTGTATTTTGTACTTGATTATTATTGTTTGGCGGTGCTTTATTTTAGTCTTATCTGGCCAACCTATTTGCCGATGAGTTACCTACAAGTTCTCCAACCTTCAGTTCAGTTATTTTATTTCGCCTTTTCTAGATCAAACAATGATAAAGTCAATGATTGAACTAGATTAATCAATGATCAAACAAGACCAAACAATGATAAACATCCAATAGTAATAAATTATCACAGTTTTTATCTTCCTCCTACCCAGTGATTTTCCAGCATTTTTTTTATAGCAAGGTGGTTACCTTGGGCCTGTTGTAAAGAACGGCATACAGTATATAATCGCGGTATTTTTTAAAGTTTCGCTTTAATTTAAGGGTACTTGCAAATTAACCTGTGCAACAAATCCGAATAATACAATGCACGTGCATGCAGAGTGTTTTATTAAAGCCAACTGGAGCGCAAATAACCGCATGCTTGCTTTTGCGAAACCCCTTCAGTCGGTTTAGCAAGACATTAAACCAGACATTTTTTTTTCACAAAGCTAAATAGGCCATTCTAAAGTGCACCAGACATAAATATTATATATTCTTGCATCCTATGTTTCCGTTTTGCCTATTTCCGTTTCGCCTATTCGAATAAAATACCCAAGGAATTTTTGTATTCACATTTTGAGTCCACGTATCGTAAACTATAATAAGGTCACCGATGAATTTCTGTGTTTGCGTGTGGGTTCTATGTTCCATCAACTCTCGAATAAAATACTCAGTTACCTTCGAGGTTGCGTTTAAATTATATGCTTCATAAACTGCGAAATATTCACTAAAACATCATTTTCTACACTATTTTACAGCTGTATGATTTATTACGATCGCGAACGAGCTAGAATGTGGTGAAGCGGAATTCACAATACGAAGGGAGTCATCAGCTGTCGCGTTGAATGCTGTTGTCATGAAGTCCGTCATCTCGTTGTCAGGACATGGTGCCAGCCCGCATAGGAAGTATTCACTTGACGTCATCATTAGCAACTTTGTTGTTCAAAGCACAACTTCACTGTTCGGTAGATAAGTATATTAAGATAAATAAAGCGGCTGTAACGACGTGAGTGCATACGCTCTAAAACATGTGGCCACTCATCGACTTGCCGGTTATCCCGCTTACCGGTAAAACCACGAGTGATATTGCGCTCAGCCCATTTTTTCCATTCCACCTTGCCGAAGATTGGGATCAGGCCAATGGTTTGAATAGGCTGGACTCCGGAAACAAGGAGCTCCACGACCTCTCGACACTGCAGAGAAAGTAGTCGTACTACCAATGAGTCACGACAAACTTCTGCTGACTTCCGAGAAGTCTTCAGTACTTCAATAGCTGAAATAGAGTAATAACTCGTGAAAAGAACACGTGGTATGACGCAACCACCTCTTCCCATGTCTGATAAAATAGAATTACCACAGGTAAAACGCATACACTATAACATTTACACATGGTGCTAATCTGGTACAAAAATAAATGCCTTTTTTGGTGCGCTTCGTCACCAAGAATAAGTGCTAATAAACTGTTACAACAACTTGTGAACAGGATGATGAAAGCGTGCGATCACAAAGAAACCTTTATTTTTACATTCGCATTCCGTGCGTGATCACAGCAACGAAGTATGTGTCCAAAGAGATCCAACATGTTCTGTGAACTCATTACATGCAGCGTGATTTTGAAATACGTAAAAGTCTGGCTTCGTTTTCTGCTAATAATTGTTTTTAAGGCTCAGCACCCGAAAGTGACTTGGGTTACGCAAGAAGCCTTAGTGAAGAGATCTAGTTAATTTCAACAACTTGGAGTTCTTCACAATGCACTCAAGTCAGATGGATTATCTGCAAGTGTCGTGACCTTCGAATTACTTGCATCTGATGATGCGCTGGTCTACCCTATATTTTTGTGAAGTTAATTTTTTCTTATGTCACCTTCCCTAGTTCACCAAGTCTGGCGTGTCTCTGCACTCCTGAACTGCTCGTCAAGTCAATCTGCTCACGCATGAAGACAGTCTATTTTATAACGTTCATAGTTCATGGTGTTCTTCGGTCATCACAAAGCCTTTGCGCTAATAAACACACACACACACACACACACACACACACACACACACACACATATATATATATATATATATATATATATATAATATTGTTTCATAATGTCATTGTTTAAGGAACATATTTAGCGTGACAAGTCACAAGTGCCATCACTGTAAAGATGGTTAGCGGTCACTTCGAGCTTCATCTCATCATGCAGTATCGCATCAAGTTAGGGCACTTTTCGAAGGCAAACTCCGTTTGCTGGTTTCATAACAGCAAGTAACAGAACAGGCATCACAACAATATTTAAGTACACGCATATAGTAGTCATGGTACTACATTTTTTATAATTTTATTAGTTTACTTATGAAGACATAAACAGCGCATTTTTTGACTAAAAGAAAGGAATATTCTTGCATAAGCGGTTAAAATGCTCACGAAAACGTGGAAGACATAATGCTAGAATTACCTAGAAATGCTTCGAAAGACCCCTGACGTTGTATGATGCGTCATTCGTACATGCATAACGCGTAATATAGACTTGAAGATCGGCTTACGAAAAGTTGCAAAAATTAAAAAAAAGCCGTATGTCAAGTTGAATTGTACATAGTCGATAACATAATTTACTCATGCTACTCCATTCGTAGAGATCTACCACTGCTACATACGAAGGGTGGTGCCCTCTGTGGCCAGGTGGCCTGAAGCACCAATTAGTCAGACGAAGAAGACGAGCCTCTGCTGTGTTGCTGTTACTGTTCGTCCGTAGTTTTTTATTCGAATTTCCTCGTACTGTCGCCTCCAAGGCGGGTTCGATTGCTACAGCAAGGACGAATGCCCCTCTTCCGCCAAGACCAGGGTGCTACCTGCAAGCGTAAAATAGGACTGGTGCGCTTGAGCATCTGAACATGGCGGTTGCCAAGGTAATCGAGCTGCTCTGACGAGGATGACATGAAATTTGACGGTGGATATGCTGAGGCCACGAACCGCCGATTTAAGAGGAAGCTTCGCAGGACACCAATCATAAGTGACCTCAACCACAATGCATCGTCCTCTCCACAGACGTGGACAATAATTTCCGTTCATATCACTGCTACAGGCAACCTGAATTCTCTGAATAGACAAGCCCTCAAGGCGTATCTTGGAAAAATAGCTCCAGGACAAAGAAAAGAGGTCCGCATTAATCCCAGAAGGAATATACTCACTCTTGGCGTTTCTACACGAATGAACCTCAACGCATTGAAGGCTGAAATTTAGATTAGCAACATACGTGTGTGCTCCTTCATTATAAATGGAGGCTGCACCATTGCTGGTGTGATTTCTGATGTGGATAAGGATATCGATAACAGTGATCTGTTAACGCTGATGTCATGGACTGTCAATACCACAGACGTGCGCCGTTTTGAATGCTAGAAATGTACGAAGATAGTTTTTGAGGGGGACACTCTCCCATCGCATGTGGAAGTGGGCTATGTGAGGCATACCGTCTGCCCGTACTTACCGAGGTCAATTCAATGCCGCAAAAGTAAAAAAAGTGGGCACGTTAGCGCTGTGTGCGAGAGCAGGTTGACTTGTCCGCGCTGCAGCGGAGATCATGAAGAGTCGTCATGCGGGGTATCTAACTTGAAGTGCTCTAACTGCGATGGCCCGCAAGAGTCGAGGTCGAAAAATTACCCTAAAATAAAACTGAAATGACCGTGCTTAGGAAGATGGTATGAGATCACTCTACGCACAGAGAAGTGGCTTCTAAGGTTCACCATCGCCAGAGGCGCTCTCGTACCCGCAGTGAGCTATAAGCATCGACCGTGTACGAAAGCCTGTATTGCCTGATGAGTCAGTGGGAGATCCTCCTATATCTGAAGCGGTATCTCAACCTCAAATCACACCTTTGAACAACGTGAAGGACAATGCCTCATGGCCTTCTCTGCCGCCTCAGAGTGCTGAAGTCCAAAGGCCAGAAAAGCAGCAAGAACATGAGACTTCGTCATCGAATGTGCAAATCAAAGCAATGAGTACGCAGTTGATCTGTACCTCGTGAATGCTGCGTGTTGGTGTCAAGACGCCTGCTGCCAAGGCTTCAGTGCAAATTCTAGACGGACTAGAACCGGTGCTTAGTGCTATCTAAAACCAACAAAAATCATGGGGTCAGCAGCCTCATCGTCATAACTGAATAAAAAATTTTAGTCGTTCTGTTATACTTCAATGGAATGCTCGAGGGCTACGAGGTCACCTCGGAGATTTTAAACAGTGAATGTTGAAATATTGATTTCCTGTTGCTGTGATATGTGAGCCGAATATGACTTCACCATTCAGACTGTCTGGATATGAACAATTCTCTTCCCAGACAAGTGGAAACCCTGGCGAAGTGTTACTATTCGTGCGCTGTGACTTCAGGTATTCCCATAACCAAATACTTATGCATAACAGCAATGAGAACGTTTTCATCACGTTGAAGCTAAGAAGACGTACGATATCGATCATGGCCATCACAGTGCCGCAAATGTCAAAAACTGGGGCACGTTAGCGCTCTGTGCGTGAACAGATTGACTTGTCTCCGCTGCAGCGGAGATTATGAAGAGTCGTCATGCGGAGTATCTAACCTGAGGTGCTCTAACTGTGATGGCCCACATGAGTCGAGGTCGAAAGATTGCCCCAAAATAAAGACTGAAATGACCGTGCTTAGGAAGATGGTATGAGATCACTCTACGCACAGAGAAGCGGCTTCTAAGGTGCACCGTAGCCGGAGGCACTGTCGTACCCGCAGGAGGATATCAGCATCGACAAGTGTACGAAAGCCTGTATAGCCTGATGAGTCAGTGGGAGATCCTCTTATATCCGAAGCGGTATCTCAACCTCGAATCACACCTTCTTTGAAAAACGTGAAGGACAATGCCCCATGGCCTTCTTTGCTGCCTCAGAGTGCTGTGCAAGGGCCAGAAAACCAGCATGAACATAAGACTTCGTCACCGCATGTGCATATCAAAGCGATGCTTACGCAGGTAATCCACACCTTGCGAATGCTGCTTGTTGGTGTCAAGACGCCTGCTGCAAAGGCTGCAGTGCGAATTCTAGACGGACTAGAACCGGTGCTTGGTGCTATCTGAAACCAGCAAAAATATGGCGTCAGCAGCCTCATCGTTGTCACTGAGTGAAAGGTTTAGTCATTGTGTTATATTTCAATGGAACGCTCGAGGGCTACGCGGTCACCTCGGAGATTTTAAACAGAGAATCTTGAACTGCCGATTCCCTAATGCTGTGATATGCGAGTCGAATATGACTTCACCATTCAGACTGTCTGGATATGAACAATTCTCTTCCCAAACAAATGGAAACCCTAGCAAAGTGTTACTATTCGTGCGCTGTGATCTCACGTATTCCCATAACCAAATACCTATGCATAACAGCAATGAGTACGTTTCCATCACGTTGAAGCTAAAAAGACGTACGATATCGATCATTGGTAGTTGCATTTCACCGAGCGCGAGATTTGACGCTGAACTCCTGAAACTTGTCATCGACTCGAGCCAAAGGCCTGACGTCATCGTAGATGAATTCAATGCACATCACCATCTTTGGGGCAGCAGCGTCAAAGTTACTCGGGGAAAACAACTTCTAGACTTCCCAAGCAACAATGACCTTCATGCCCTTAACGACAAATCACCGACATATTTCCATGGCTCAACGTACAGCAGCTGTCTGGACTTAGCCATCGCTTCTCGGTACCTTTCAACATCCACCACCTGGTGTGCAGACGTTAAAATATATGGTAGTGATCACCTTTCTACTTACGTAAAACTACGATAATATACCGGCGTTGAAACTATTCGAATGTGATGCACAGATTGGGAGGCTTTCCATGAAGAGCTAGAAAAGTTTTTTAGCTCTATAGTTTCTCCAACAGAAATTGAAGAAAGAATAGCCAGAGCAGTACAAAGCCCGTTTACATTGACCCGACGAGGGCGCATTGAGTCGAAATAAACAGGTTTTCTGGACTCGCCCTCCCCATGTATAAGCGGACGCGTCGGGGCGGAGAGTCGTCGCGGCGAGTCCCGTCGACCCGGAGACAGGGGGTAGGTTCACCGAACTCGCCGCGCTCAGAAAGGCATGTATAACTGGTCGCGCTGAGTTGACGGCTCGTGACCTCTCCCGCCCGTCGTGGTCTCCGCTTCCCCTGTCGCCATCACTCCGACGTTGCTCTGTCTCTGTCGGCCGGTACGCGCGG